ACAGGAGGGTCAGTGCATATAAGTTTAAAATCTAAACAGGTTTCGATAAATGATAGGAATTTGAAATTCTCACATTTTTCGATAAGGATTTGGGAGTGTGAAATTAGAATCACTGAAATTATGTTCAATTGGTTTATTTCACAAAGTAAGGATCATAGACAAACATAGAGTGCATACTTGGTGTATGGCAAAGCTATTGTTTAGAAAAACATAGTGTACATGCTTGGAGCATGGGACAACTATGTTTTTTAATTCAGGTATAAAGTTGATAAAACCGAAACAATGAAATAATGAGTAATCAGTATGGTGATAAATAAAAGTGGTCTATTTATATTCATAGGGTTTGATACCATATTTGATTCATTTATTCTTGTGTTTCATTTTGCATGTTTTGACTTCCATAATAACTAGGTCATTCTTCCTGAATGACTAAGTTATTCAAACTATCCACAGTCGGTCATATGTTGGAAGTAGATATGAATCAAGACTGTCATGGGTTGGCTTGTAGAGGTCTAAGATGTTGGACAAAGCGGTGCTACAACACTCATGAGTGCGCATAAGTTCTGAGTATTGGATTCAACCCACGCTCATTTGAATCACTTCATGGATTTTATCACGAGTGATCATGAGATGATAATATCTTATATTCTTAAAACCTAGAGATATGAGTTGTTACTATGAGTTGGTTATACATTGATTGCACGAAAACGCATTGGTAACTCGATGTTATAAAACGTGCCTTTGTGTATGATTCAACAAGTAGTAGAACAAGCCATATGAGTCGAAGTTTATCCATTCCTTTTACCTTCGGGATAAAAGCGATATCTGTGGGCCCCTCGATGATTTAGCGATGACACATGTGAGTGCTTGGCCAAGCCAGGACTGATTTGATTTGTTCAATCAGTCAGTCATCATAAATCGAAAATCGGGAAACAACAAATGGATAGAGAGAATGATTATAATCCATGTCTCAGTCCATATGATATCTAGAATGGAGGAATATATGATCCCTTATCTAATGGACAAGTCATTGACAAGGTCAGAGTTCGACAGCGGCTTTAAGAGCTACGATTGCCAGTTAGGTTTTGAAGTCATACTCAATAATAGTTTTAGACTTATCCAAGTGGGAGACTGTTGGATTAATGTCTAAGTCCATAACTATATTTGGTATGTACTTGACCCGACCCGGCATGGTCCATTTGGGTTGCACTTCACCGGCACAATTTATATGGATAGTCTTTTGAGAATAGTGTATTTATGATTTATAGTAATATATTATAAGTTCTAATATATTAATATGGAATCATATTATTTAATTAGTATTGATCAAGGATTAATTTAGAATTAATTAAGTGATAAAAAAGAACTAAAAATATGGACTCTTATATATATGGAATGGGCCAAGTTCATTTAGGTTGAGCTAAGCTTTCATGGATGGTCCATGGAGCTTTTAACCCATGAATCCTATGTAAATGAAAGGTCATGGGTATTAGGGTTTACATGGATGTAACTCTAATCCTCCATAATATATAAAGGGGTCCTTGGCTCACAAAATTGGCACAAGTGTGTGAAAATAAGAGTGGGCCGATTTTAGTGTGCATACATACTCTCTCAAGTTCTTCCAAGGTGTTTTGGTGGTTTGTGATTCCATTTGAGGCTTCCACACTATTGGGGCTAAGCTCTTAAAGCTTGAAGACATCAAGCTACATCAAAAGGTATGTCATCTAACTAGAACTTTGTAGTATAGGTGCTTCATAATATGCTAGTTAGGATGAAACCTTGGAATAGTTAATATTTGCATGTATAATAGAGAAAACATAGATCCAAGGTATTTAGGGTTGTGTGTGCACCATAAGATGTTGTAGTATACTAAAACCCAACAATTTTGGGATTTACTTACTGGTTCCGGCTGATCGTACACCCTGCATCCTCCTTTGATATTTTGAAAACCTTTTTTTTTAAAATCATTTTGAAAATCTTTTACTTGGTTTGAGACTGGATTGACACAAGTGTTCCTCCAATTCACTCAAACCAAGGCTCTGATACCAACTTGTAACATCCATAAAAATCATGCCAAATTCAAACTTTTAAAAACATTTCAAAACCATTAATCATTACAAAACTTGTTTTCAAAATATATAATAATAGAGTATCTCAGAAACATAAACATAAATATGAGGAGATGTACGGTCACGCATTTGCCTTGCCGCGATCCCCTGATGTACCTGAAACAATAAACTGAAACTGTAAGCCCGAGGCTTAGTGAGTTCCCCCAAAATACCCATACACACAACAGTACACATATAATCATAAACATCATACTATGGGTCCAGTTAATCATCGGGTTGGAATACCCCAGGCCCTCAACCATCCGGTTGGAATGCCAACATACTATGGGTCCAATCATCCTCTGGATGGAATACCCCAGGCCCACAACCAACAGGTTGGAATGCCCACATACTATGAGTCCAATCATCCTCGGGATGGAATACTCACGGCCCACAACCAACAAGTTGGAATACCCAGGTCTATTGGCTTTCGCACAAAGCAGATAAGCCTCAACCACCAAACAAACATGTGCACATATAACAGATAATCACATAACAGTCTATAGAAAAACAAACCGATCTAACAGATCATAGCCACATAATACATAATACCATCCTATCTACCAAGATACCGATCTAACAGATTATACTATCATAACATATCCAAATAACAATCCAAAGGGCCGGCCTTGGTGCCTTGGACCCTTGAGTATAGTGAGGATAACTCACATCGCAAGTAGTGCTGAAGTACCGAAAACCTATGATCGCTGTCTCACCGGAAATCCCGAACTATCACATAAAAATACCAAGTCAATACACCATATAACAGTCTTGACTAATGGTCCACACAATCCATCATGTCCATTTTCTTTATTGGGCTAAGGCCCAATTCCAAGTCCATAACCTTGTAAGTCCTTATGCAAAGACCATTATTGGCCCAATTTACCAAATTGGTCCCAACCCCTTATTGGGCCTAATTCCAAGATCCATTATCAAAACTTAGCCCAAAACATCATATTCATAAAGTCCATCAAAGGCCCAAATCCAACTAGTCCATAATCAGCCCAAACCCCGAAGCCTAATTGTCAAAAGCCCAACAGAGGACGTACGCGGGGCATACTCCTCTGGTACGCTGGGCGTACTCGTCCTGATGTTGACCACCATCGGGGTGGTTGACCCAGTACGCTGGGCGTACTGAATTTACGTCGGGCGTACGTAGTGGTTTGCCAAAATCTGAATAAGTGCTTAATGGCTTAAGCACTTAAGCCCAAACTTCAGATCCAGTGACCAAATGTGTCTAGGACCCATAAAGTCACGGACTTTATCACTTTGGACGTCCAGAAAGCTCTTAATACTTGGTCTTAATCCTTTAAGACCTTCCTACTCCATGCATGGGACATCTTAAGCCATTGAGACCTTATTTTTATCACTCAAAACCCCTTCAAGAGTCTAGAAGGACAGTTCATTTCGTCCAAATCACATCATGCACCATCTTGGGACTTTTTGAGACAAGAAATGGTTCTTTAAAGCAAAGATGGCAAGATCTATACATATATGCATAAAGTTTGAAGCTTTTTACCTTCTGGAGCTTCTAGGGTACAAACCAACTTCAGATCTACAAGCTTGATCTTCTTCTCTAACTCCTTGATGCAACACCTTCTTCTTAAAACACTTAAGAAACACTCTATAAGCTCAAACACTCAAGGAAATGGCTATGATTTGGGGAAAACGACTCTAAGTAGTGGAGGCTGGGGTAAGGGAGGGTTATGAGCTCATAAGGTTGTTTATATAGCACCCAAACCCTAGATATTAGGGTTTCATTCTGTCATGAGTACGCCTAGCGTACACAAGTGTACGCCCAACATACTAGGGCGCACCTAGTACGCTCAACGTACTCTTATGTACGCGCATCGTACTCCTCCTGGTCCCAAAGTTTCAACTTAGCCCTTAGGCTTTTCATGGCTTTACCCTTCCATCCCCAGGGATTATAATGACAAATCTTGGGGTGTTACATTTCACTTCACATAATGGTGTCTATCATGATAGATTTCGATGGATGAAATCACACCCACGCTAATGGTGTTTATAGAGATGTGTTGAAAGGTGGAGAAAGGAGAACCGTTAATATCTCTATAAAACCCATGTACTCTCATATGTATATGCTTTATTAATCAATTACACCTTATGAGAAAGTTCTAGAACCACACAAATTTGGTCCCTCAACTTATGGACAAATGTCATATCCATCATACTATATATAATTAATCTGAGGGACCTGATATGTCATATGGCAAATATTATGGTACACAATATAATTGTACCTATCATATAAAATCATTATAAAATAGTTCGATGGCCAAACTAACAGGTCATTTTCCAACAACTGTCACCGTAACTTTACGCCCGACCTTACCTAACACACCAACAACCTAACCATTTGCAAAAATTGAAGATATAGTTTTTTTTGTTTGGCTTTACCCAAAAGACAACCTAGCCATTTTAAAAAGTGGTATATGCTTTTTTGTTTGAAGAAGATTAACTCGGACAACTTTGGGTTCGTACAAGAACAAAAAACAAAACTAAACTACCCAGAAAAGTTAATATCGATAAACTGCAACTTAAATAAATCTGGGGTGGTGGCGCAGTTGGCTAGCGCGTAGGTCTCATAGCTAAGAGTTATCCTGAGGTCGAGAGTTAGAGCCTCTCTCACCCCAATGGTCTTTTTCTCACGTTTTCTCAATTATTTTCGCTAAGCTCTTTCCTTCACGTTGATATTACGATAAAGTCGAAAAGCAACACAATGGGGTGGTGGCGCAGTTGGCTAGCGCGTAGGTCTCATAGCTAAGCGAGTGATCCTGAGGTCGAGAGTTCGAGCCTCTCTCACCCCATAATTTTTACACACCTTTGGCTACCTTTTTAATTGTTGAGCTATATTTATTCGGCAACCTTCTTCAAAAACCCTAATATCCTACCCTAAATCTCTCTGCAACTTCCAAACATCGAACCAACATTATAATGGGGAAACAAAGCAAAAGTAAGCAACTTCAGATTTTTAATCCTTCTATCTGCTCCAATTCGGTTGAACATACGTGAATGTTTTACATATTCGTTTTTACACACCTTTGTATGTGTTGGTATGTTGGTGTTAGTTATATTCTATGTTGGGTCGACTGTATGCTTCGCATATTTTCCTGCTCAGATTCGATTGAATTTATGTGTGCGTGTTTAACAAATTCTGGTTCTGTTGGTTTCTTCTGCTCGAATTCAGATAGGATTTATGTTGGTATGAGGAATCCAATTGAACGTATTTATGTTAGTCTGCGTGTATAACAAGTTTGATTGAATATATATATTTATGGTGTAACGAGTATTCAGCTCAAATTCGAATAAATGATTGAACGTTTATATATTACATTGTGTGTTTGACAGTTTTTTCTGCTGAAATTTGATTGAATTTTTATGTGTGTGTATTAAGCAAATTCTGTTGAATGCATGTATGTGTTTCACAAGTTCTATTATGTTCATATGTGGATCTGTTCTGTCTGTGTTAACCATACCTCTACTCAAATTCATTGAAAGTGGATAAGATGAATCGGATAGTGGATAATTTTTCTTCTCAAGTTCTATTGAATTTGTGAGTGATTCTCTTTGCTTTTCTGCTCAATATGTTTACCTGAATGTGAATTTGCATTTGAATATGTAGAGAGCAAGAACAAGAGAGTCACTCTGAAGCAGAAGAACAAGGTGCTAAAGAAGGTAAAGCTGCACCACAAGAAGAAGGCCAAAGAGGCAAAGAAGCTTGGTATGAACAAAAAGCCTAAGGTCGACAAACATGCTGATAACAATGATGACTCGCCTTTAAATGATGAAGAACTCAAGGCTCTCGAGGCACGTCGTGCAGCTAAGGCTCTCAATGGAATCGAGCACAAAAAGGCTGCAAGCCAAGAGAGGGTATTTTAGTAATTCAAATGTTACTGCTATTGCCACAGCAGTTTGGCCTGAAAACTTACATCAAATGTCTCTTCAGGTTAAAAAAAGGAAGTTGGGACAATTGGATGAAGATGAAGATGATGATGATGATGATATCACAAATCTGCCTGAAGCCCGTGATGATTTTACAGTTCCGAGTAAGATAAGGGGTAAGTGACTGTTGATCTCAATCTATTTGTTAGATTTAATTTGATGATAACTTAACTTGTAAATTGTAATAATCTGACCTTTCATAAACTGCCCTTTATAACTCCGGATAAATGTCTCAATAGCAGTTTGTTCTTCCCTCCAATGTAAATCTGGTTTTGTTACCTTTTTTCTTAAATTGTTCTTGTTTACACAGACAATTCAGAGAGATCTTTCTACAAGGAATTGGCAAAAGTTATTGAAGCATCAGATGTCATCTTGGAAGTTCTTGATGCTCGGGACCCACTTGGTACTCGTGCTGCTGACATGGAAAAGATGGTTATGAGAGCCGGGCCTGAGAAGCATCTAGTTTTGCTGTTAAATAAAATTGGTAATATTTTCGTTTCATTTGTCTTTTTATCAAAATGAGGCCTTGATTGATTAGAGTGTTTTTTTGAGAAACTGAAACTTACTTAATTGGAACATGGAAATCAGATCTTGTTCCTCGTGAAGCTGCTGAAAAGTGGCTCAAGTATCTTAGAGAGGAGTTGCCTGCAGTTGCTTTTAAGTGTAGTACACAAGAACAGAGGTCAAATCTTGGGTGGAAGTCTTCCAAGTCTGCAAAGAAGACAAGCAATCTTTTACAAACAAGTGACTGTCTTGGAGCAGAAACACTTTTAAAGTTGCTTAAAAATTACTCAAGAAGTCATGAGGTATGCATATCTAGCTGCATTTCAATCTTTTCCTTGCTTCTTTCACATAACATACTAAATGTAGTTGATAATATCTTGTCATTAGACAATAATATGGTTACAAACTAAGATTGTATCTTAGAAAGGATATATGTTTCTACTTTCTTGTAATTAAAAAAAAGTATATGTACTTGCTCATCGTACATTAAGTTGTTTAAACCAGTAACATTAGTATAATGTTACTGGTTAATCCTCATAAAATATTATATATATGTAACTACGTACCATATTAAAATCAAATCTGATGAGGAAATTGATACACCCGTACCCAATCTGATACATGTGAGTGTGAATACAGATTAAAAAGTCAATCACTGTGGGTGTGGTTGGGCTACCAAACGTTGGTAAGAGCAGTCTAATCAACAGTTTGAAGAGATGCCATGTGGTGAATGTGGGGGCGACACCTGGACTGACAAGAACCATGCAGGAAGTCCAGTTAGACAAAAATGTTAAACTTTTGGATTGCCCTGGTGTTGTCATGCTTAAATCCGGATCCGGGGATAATCATAATGATGCTTCCATTGCACTTCGCAATTGCAAAAGAATTGAAAAGCTAGAAGATCCTGTTGCCCCAGGTCATTTTAAATTTATTTATTTAATTATATCTTGAAAATACTTGCGTTGTATTGTATCTGAATGTTTTTTTGATGGTGGATTGCTTCAGTGAAGGAGATTCTCAGGTTATGCCCTGAGCAAATGTTGGCAAGGATTTACAAACTTTCCGGCTTTGATTCTGTTGATGACTTCCTTTACAAAGTAGCCACCATTAGAGGTAAGCTTAAAAAGGGAGGGATTGTGGATATCAATGCTGCTGCAAGAATCGTGTTGCATGATTGGAATGAAGGTTTGTATCGTATCTTATCAGTTATCACCAATTTGCATTTTCTACTTGTGGGCCCCCTCCCACTCCCACATGACATAACAGGTTGTACTGCATTTGACAGGTAAAATTCCGTATTACACGATGCCTCCAATTAGGAACGAAGGAGTGGTTATGGAGGCAAATATAGTTTCTGAACTTGGAAAGGAGTTCAATGTGGATGAAGTATATGGCACCGATTCCACCATAATCGGAAGCTTAAAATCCCTAGATGATTTTAACTCTGTTACTCTCCCACCCAATAATCCCATTGCTTTTGACCAGACAATGCTATTTGAGGTTTTTCTTTCTTCTTCTTCAACATTTTAATACTATTCATTTGCCTTTTTCACCATCAAACTGATCATTACTATAAAAACATTTATACAGAAGGATAAACCATCTGCTGATGAAAACCAAGTAGAAAAAATCAATCATGTGGGTGAGGACGAAGCAATGGGTGAAGATGATGATGGTGATAGAGTGGACCCGGTGATTAAGAGTTCAAATAGTCGACAGAACGAAAAATTGTATGCTGTTGAAGGTGTTTTAAACACAAAGTTAAGGAAAGCTGAGAAAAAGAGAAGGAAAAAGGCTAATAAATTGGCTTTAATGGAAGGAGATGATGATGAGTCCATGAAGGATGTCAAAAATGAATCGGGTAATGGGATGAATGTTGATGAGGGAGATGATGACGTGTCAGTTAAAGAGGTCACCAACAACAGATTTGCATTGGCTGATTTGGACGTGGAGCTCTAAGGTTTAAGGTTTTTTATATTGTCACTTTGAATTTTGCCGGTAGAGAATGTTTTTACTTTTTATCCAGTTTACGAGGTTAATATATATTTTTGTGATGGTGTAACGAACTATTTTGGTTTAATTACGAAATTAAGACTTTTTTAATTACATCATGTATTCAAAGTTGACCATCGTCACGATTTTTTTTCCCGACATCTAGAAACTTGAAATAAATACAGGAAGAATTGGGTGGTCAACTCGACCTATTCTTTGTTATATGTTGGTATATTCAGCCACCAAATTATGAAGACCGTTTTAGCAGCCTTCTTTAATTAAGTTGAAATGTAAAGGTTTATTCTTTAGATTATAATATTGTTTCAACACAATAAAGTATATATAAAAAACAAAACGTGTATCTTTTTTCTGAGTTTGAAATAATGATCTTAAAATTATCTAAGATATTTAATTTTGCATTAAATAAGATAACTTTAAATAGTTAGTAGAAAAGCATAATATTCTTTTAGCATTGTTCCAGACAAAGTATGACTTTTTTTTTCCTTCTCTCAAAAGAGGTTTGTTTTCGATTCTACATATGTATTTTAAGTCTTCAAATGGTAATTAGAAATTCTTTTGTTGGTTTAAGTAAAGTAGTAAACCGTTGCAAAGCTTTTTGAGGTGGAAGGATGATTATGTTTGTGTGAAAGTATATGATATCTAATTTGTCATTTTATTTTACAATATTTTTAGTAAAATACCTAAAATCCCCTTCGCAAAACTAAAAAGAATTATAGATGAAAGTCGAGTTTATAATTATCAGTAATGACATAAAATAAACACATCAATTAATTGAGAGCTCTCTCTATAGCCTCATTTGTAAATTGTAAGGCTTGAAATAGGTTATAAGACAATAATCTTGCATGAACAAAATTGTTTGAACTCTCTCTAGCTTCATTTGTAAACCTATTGTACTTTTACAAATATTTAAGGAGATTGGTTGCAATAAACAAACTACATAAGAAAGTGTAACATTTTACCTCATAACACCTAAAATTGTGTGAATTTTGTTATTTTAGGACTTTTGTTCCAGAGTTTGAATGTTTTTTTTGACTCCGAACCCATTAAAATTTACATAAACGCAAGAATTATTAATAATTGAAAATGACATGTTAACATTTATTTACACAAAATTTATATTTACAAGGGATTTATTCAAAGGGAACGTCAATGTGGATCTGAAAAATTCAAAGACGTATTCAATGAAACACCGCGTGGCATTTCCGTAATTTCCTGGCGCCTACCCAGGCATTTTCATAAACCACAACGTCAACAAAACCCCCCTTTTTCATATACGAAAACCCATAGTGTCTCCTTTATCTCATTTCACCTCTCACTTTCTCTCTCTTGCATCCTCTCTCGAAGAATTAATCAGCGTCTTCTTCGGCACGCTTCCTCCATTTCGGTGCATCTGTTATCTTCCGGCGGTGGTGCTCGGTGACCGGTTTTATAGTCGCGGGAGACAGAGAAGGAGGTTATTATGGGACAACAGTCGTTGATCTACAGTTTCGTGGCTAGAGGGAACGGTGATTCTGTCGGAGTACACGGAATTCACCGGTAATTTCACTAGCATCGCTGCTCAGTGTCTCCAGAAGCTTCCTGCCACCAACAATAAGTTCACCTACAACTGCGACGGCCACACCTTCAACTACCTTGTCGAAGATGGATACAGTGAGTCCGATCTGATCTATTTGTCGTTTTGTTTTTTTCTCGATCTGACCATGCTAATGAGAAATGATAACTTATGATTAGTCGATTTGATTGTTTATTCTTTGTTGTTTCGTATATTGATGCTATTATTTGTAGATGCGTCTCTCCCCATAACTATTTCCTATGTTTAATAAGGAACGTACATCTTTACTTTCTCTTTAGTATGCTCGTTTTGAATATGCTATCGGAGATTACTTTTATGGAGTATGAGGATCCTACTAGTTTGATTTGCTTCTTGTTGATGAAATTGATGCCAATGTGCATTTGCTGATTGAATGTGAATCCGAGATGCTTGGTGTTGCAGTTACTTCTGTTATACTTGGGATCTGCTTTAACCACTGATTTCGTTTAGCTTGCTTTAGCTTTAAAAGTAAAGTTCCATTGCACTTTGCACGTGTTCCTTGCAGCAGATTAATTTTTATTTAATTCATAATAATATATGGATTTGGATGATATGGCAGCGTAAAGGTTAATCCTTGTCTTTACCGAGACTAGTAAATATTTGAGATTTGTTAGCTATCGTTTTTGGATCTTAATCCCTCCCTTCAAAACTTGTACATGATTGAAGATAAGTTAGAAGCTGATATGTAAATGTTACAATTATACATTAGGAAAATGACACATGCATACATGCTATGCTACTAGTTGGGTTTTGGATGCTGATTAAGTTTATGTTGTGTGTGTATCTATGATATGAAGCATACTGTGTGGTTGCGGTTGAAGCCATTGGCAGACAGGTTCCAATTGCTTTCCTGGAGCGCATCAAGGAGGACTTCACCAAGAAATATGGTGGTGGGAAAGCTGCAACAGCTATTGCCAGCAGTCTCAACAAAGAATTTGGGTATTTTAATCTCACTCTCCATTTTAATTTTATTTATTTGTCATCTTCTTTTAGTTATTTAATTGGTTTTGATTATCAGCCCGAAGCTGAAGGAACAGATGCAATATTGTGTGGACCATCCAGAAGAGATCAGTAAGCTTTCTAAAGTCAAGGCCCAGGTTTCAGAAGTCAAAGGGGTGATGATGGAAAATATTGAGAAGGTAAGAAGCTCTAATTTGCAATCAGCATAACAATCTATTGTCTAATTTTCTTTTATAACTGTAGGTTCTTGACCGTGGAGAGAAGATTGAGATTCTGGTAGATAAAACAGAGAACCTTCGTTCACAGGTCGGTCAGAAATTTCTTTGGTTTTTTACATATATAAGATTATTTGAAAATGCTAAAAAAAAAGGCAAACATTTTGTATTTTTTAGGAAACCAAAATCAATAATTTGGGTCCACAACAAATAATACTAATATATGTAAAATTACGATATGTTGTTGCATGCAGGCACAGGATTTTAGGAAGGGAGGTACTCAGTTGAGAAGGAAGATGTGGTTGCAGAATATGAAGATAAAACTGATTGTTCTTGGAATCATTATTGCTTTGATTCTGATTATAGTTCTTTCCGTTTGTGGTGGCTTCAACTGTGGCAAGTGAAAACATTATTTTGATATCATTCAAAAACCATGCTTCTTTCTTGTTCTTTTTGGTATCTGATTCTACATAAGAGGAGGTTTATTATACCTTTTTATATTGTGAGACCATATTTCATTTCATATTTGTATAGGTTTGTTTCTTTGTTGTATTTTTTGATACACGTCTGTCTATCTATCTATCTAGATTTATTTATTCGTTAAGTTATTTGAGATTGTTTGTTGGCAGGGTGATTAAGATACTAAATCATCAGACAGATAAAACATAAGTCCCATGTGTTCGTTATAATAAGCTATCAGCTATGCTGCAATACATCAATTTCCATGTTGTCGATCAACCTCACCTTCCCAAACCATGCTGCAACACATATAACAACCCCTCCACCTCCACCACGTGTAATCTCTTCATCGTTAATTGCTTCTAGGCTTTCTTGATCCACAATCTGAAACAATCATAAATCCACAACTTTACTACTTTACTTAAAAAAGAAAAAAGAAACCAAGTAATCTCTTTTTTAATTGTTCCACCTCAACATAATCAATCTTTCCACCTGCTGCTTCTATACTTTCAATCACTGATCTTCTCAATTCACTACAAATGTTTTTCCCCTTCTTGGCTTCAAATAACGACCGACTTATCGACAAATGCCTGCAACATTTTGTAACATATTTCTTTACCATTTCTACAATACACACTTTGACAAACTGTAAACACCAATTAGATCAATTCTTGTAGACAAGTTTAGTTCTTTCAAGATTAATATATTTCCACCTTGCACGCATATGGTTTTTGTAAATATCACAAAAGAACATAACAGTTTGTATCTGTAAAAATATAGATGCAAAAAAAGGAACCATGATGCATAAAATAGTTCATTCTTGCAAACTACAATGTAATTATGGTTTAGCAATCAAAATCAAGTATGAATATGATAGTTCAAAAAACTTCACCACTTGTCCTTTTAGTCATGCAACAAGAAACTATATCAAATCAACAAATTCAACATCTATTTGAATTTTCTTTTTTATTGCATTTATAAAGAGGACCCACAAAAGAAAAAAAAGTAAATTGGGAGCTGACCTGTTCCCTTTCTCGGGGTGAAAGATGCACGTTCCGAGAGCTCATTGCTAAGCCATCTTTGTCTCGTATCATCTCAGAACCAATCACCTTCACTGCAAAATCAAGATCTCGAACCTGGAAGCATATATATATATTAAAACTTTGATCATAAATCCATCAAGATCAACAATATCCATGTAAATCGAACTATGAACACACTTCCATGAACAACTTGAAGCAAAGTACTATGAAACTCCAAACAAAAAAGAAATCATGAATGAGAAAAGAAGTTGCACCTAATCACTCCCATGGCAATTCCAACAGATAAACCATGGTATCATCATCAAACAAATGAATCATTATGAACCAGAAACCAACTGATACAACAATTTCAAGCACAGGAACAACATCATTCTCAATTATTCCAACTTCAAAAGCAAGAAAGGAACTCACTGGGCACTCAAACAAACATCTCTGAAACAATTTCATGTAAATTATGAGCATAATTAGCTAAGATTTGAAGGATAATTACGAATCAGAATGGAAACTCACTCACTCGCACTTAAACACACGTTTCTACAACAATCTGAAGAAGTATATCAACATAATTCCGGATAATTAAGCTTCAAAAAGATGAAAACAATTACGAATCAGAAAGGAACTCACCATTCGTTGAATGATCCGCCATTGCTGATAATCCTTCTTCCCAAAAACAGCAACATCAGGTTCAATTATATTAAACAATTTAGCCACAACAGTAGCAACACCTCTAAAAAACACAGGCCTACTCTTCCCACACATTCCCTTCTCTAACCCCTCAACCCTAATCCATGTCTCATGTCCGAATCCCCCTCCTCTCTCGTCCTCCAAACAAGACACTACTCCCTCCTCTTTCTCTCTCTTCTTCCCACCTGATCGTTCCCTCTCTTCTCCATAATCATACATATTATAGGGATTGAAAACAACATCTACGCCATCTGGAGTCGACTGGAGTTTTTCAATATCGCCTTGGAAATCAGAGGGGTATGTGGACAGATCTTCATTTGCGGAAAATTGACCGGGATTTACGTAGATTGAGACCACGATAAGCTGTGCGTGTTTTCGAGCTTCGGCGATGAGAGAGAGATGGCCTTGATGGAGGTAACCCATTGTTGGAACTAATCCGATTGTTTTCCCTTGAGCTCTCATAGATCTTGTCCAATTCCTCATCTGTTCTTTGTTTCTGATGATTCCTGTTTCTCTGATTGCCATTTTTGGTAGCGTATTGGAGATTAGGGGTAGGCTTCTTTGAGCAGATCTAGGTGGCGGCGGGAGTGAAGAACTTCAAATCGGTAGCGTTCGTTACAAATGTTTGGGACTTGGGATTGGATTGTTCATCGCCGCCGTGAAATTACAACTCTTGATGCAGTAGTTACAGCCACGTGAAATCCCTTTATTCACATTTTATTGGTGTTCTGTTTTCTTTGAATATCCGTTATTAGAAAGAGGCTAAATAAAATATTCAAGACAACTTTAAAAATAAAATCAATATTATCGTGTGACTTTATTAGAAAAAATAGGTTTCCATAATGGGTTTGATAATAATTTTTACACATATCAGGAAGCTCACTTTTGTTATTAATGTTTTGTGATTTCTATTGTGTCTGGATTAACAAGAAATAATCAGTAAAAGTATCCCGTATGTCATGCATAAAATAGAAAACACGTTCTAAAGAGTATACATATTGTTCAATTTCGTAAGGGAGTTCAGAATATGATGAAATATGAGCATGTATACCATCTATTTGAAAAGTTAGATGATAAGGTTGACGAAAACTGCAATTTTAAAACTTGAAAAAATGTTTTTGAAAAAAATGCATTTCGAGTTGTCATAGGCAGCTTGGGTATTGAGACATATCACATGTCAAGGCAACTTGAATTGCATTTGAGCGGATCCAAATATGGATGTTTCTCTTGTGAAGATGATAATAATATTTTTTCGCTGCATTACAAGTACAAATCGTAAAGCTTTAAAAGGGAGCGTTGTCCCATTGCAAGGCCGGTCCTGGGGATTCAAATGCCCAGGACGGGCCAACAAAAAAAGGTCCTTAGGCCCTAACGTGTAACGAATTAAATTATATAACAATTTTTTTTAAACGACAATAAACTTTATAACAATAAACATAGCAACATCAAAGTTTGTAATGTCGATGTCTCACAAGTCTTATTATGATACATGTATATATCTTTTGGAGATGACTAACATGTATATAGTAAGTCCTAAGAGGCTATGAGGCTAGTTGTACATGTAACCATATGATCCTTATATCTCAAGACTCCACTTAGGAAAAGAGGATTGAAGTGGTTTAAAATTACATTATTGCCTATGATGCATATAAGTTTAGAGTAAAAGGACATCTCAAGGTATTGTATCTTTCATTATCTCAAATAACCATAGCATCTTTAAGGTATAACATATAACTATCATGATGTCAAATATAGTACATCAATCTTCGAAGCTACTTATTTTTTGCATGATAGCATCTCATGGTTTATGAAAACCTAACATATACAACAATACTAAGAATTATCATATGGGACCCACAAAATAAAAAATTACAAATGACAAATGGTATAAACTAGAAAAAATCAAGATATGAATATGAGACTAACAAAAAAATAATACCCTCAACTATGCATATTCTTTTCTCTATATCAAGATTTTATGATACTTGATAGTGCATATGTTATCAAAATAACATTTTTCATAAAATTTATAACATTTCATCATTTAAAAAAGGATTAAGAATTAAAGAGTTTGATATTCAAGAATCCATCTTCCACCTACATATTTTGTTTCTTTTCATTCATCTTTGTTTGTAGATTCCTCAACAAAGTAACTTTAGTTTCTTGAAAAGCTACCACTTAACTTCAAAAAACATGGAAATCAATATAACCTAGTCCAACAATAAAACTACAAAAACCAGTTAACATGGAAATTAATATAACCTAGTCCAATAATAGAATTTCAAAAAAACATGAAAAGCTACCACTTAACTTCAAGTATTCAATTTCTAATAATCTATAACCTCATCAGTGGAATTTCTGATAATCTAATTCATTCAATTACTAAATTTTGATCATATAAATACATTCAATTTATGATAATACGATAACATAAAGACTAGAATAATCGATTGCCTAATAACCTGATTATCACGAATCAGGAGTGGACGACAAACCACTGGTAATCGATCATCCGATTGAATGATCGTTTCTTGCCTTCTCGCTGAATGACCGCTTCTCGCATGCTCACTTCTGCCGACTGCCTTCCCTTTTGTGTGTGGACTACTGATCTGATTATCCTTTCATTTGCATTTGGGCTTGATTAATGAATGTATATAAAAAAAAAATTGGCCCCTGAAAAATATTGGCCTTATGCACATGCCCATGTTGCCCCTGCTCAAAACGGGTTTGCCCCATTGACTCCCATATTTCATCATGTTCGAGATTAAATTTGTTTTATATTCAAATATATATTATGTATCATCTAACTTGTATTATATTACAATTCAAATCTTTATTTGTCACTAATGTTAATACCTATTACACTAAATAAATAAATAAAAATTGACAATGAAATCACCACAAGCTTAAGAGGTTAGGGGTGTTATATTTGTTTTAACCGACTATTTCAAAATTTTAATTATATCAAGTTGTAATAATCGGCTTTTATTACCTATACAAATAAATTTTATTTTTGATTATTTCATAACTTACAAGGCAAATAATAAGCTCAAGGTAATAGTTTCTTGTAAAATGCAACCGATAAAATCATAAAATTGTTGGTTGTCAAGTCTAATGAGTAATAATAAAAGAGAGGTTAAATATCCTCTTACTAAATGTTCCCACTTATCATCATACTTATAAGATTATTATAAGTGTCAAAATCAAAGGATAAGATGAGAAAAGAGAATTATTGTTTCACATATCAATCGTTGAATGAGTAGGATGATGAAATAGAAGGATTAAGTAGGAAACAATTTAATTTTCCATAATAATATTAGAGAGCTATTTAACACATACAAATGAAATGTCGCATTGTAAATAATGATTGTGTCTGTGTAATAAATAAAACAAGCAGGGTGTTTGTATTGAAACTTTAATCTAATAAATGAAACTTTGTATTAATAAAACATATAGGTTATTCATTTGGATGGATTGGTTCGATCCGATCCAACTATTAAAAAAGAGCAATGAATTGTAAAACTCTGTTAATGAAGTGATACGGTGATCCAAAATAGTGAATAAAAGACCTAGGATCGAGAAGTAATCCAACTTGATTTCGATTTGTCAAAACATGGATTTGAATAGTCAAAATTAAATTAAAATCTGATCCGAACCAACCAAACTGTAATTCAGTTAAATCAATTTTCACTATTCAGTTTTCAAGTTTTGATACATTCCAAAAAACTATAGACCTTTAATATTAATAACCTTAATTTTTCAAGTTTAAATCTACAAACATTCATGTTATTTCATCTTAGTGAACTCGAGTAAATAAACAAAGCAAATGAAATGACTTACTTGTGAACTAAAATTTTATATTACTTGAGACATTATTTGGGACATGCCTTTAATTTAAATCCAAAACAATATTAGTAATATATATATACACACTAAAAACAAACAAATAAATAATTGTTATCCAGTTTGCGTATCGATCTAAAAATCCAATTATCCTAACCATACAGTCAAATTCAAATTGTCTAACTGTACAATCCGATTTTATATAAGTAGCATACTTTATCTAAGTAGCATACTGTCCTAGGTTTAGCATCTAATTTGGTATAGCCATATGATCATGGATGGATGAGTATGGTGCAATAGTTTCTCGAGGAGTCATTTTAGATCGAATTGAGTTTTTTGTATGACTTGACAACACTCATTAGAAATCCTATATTCGATCAAATAAATACTACTTAAATTCTAATTAGATTTGAAATTTGAATATACATTGCATTACATACATGAATTTATCAATTTTATGATCAACCTACATGTAAGTTTGGAAGGTTTGAGGTTCTAAATCCTCATCTATAATTAGGGGTGAAGATGGTGCAATATTGATCATTATTTCTTCAAACTATGTACCATGCCTACTATTGTTGGTACAAAACTTTTGCGACCAATATTATAATTTTTTTTTTGTAGTTTTGTGCAACTATAGTCCATTTATTATCAGATAGTGTATTTTTAAAATATACAAGCCGAACCAAAATTGAACAAAAAAGATGAATAATAAAAGCAAACCTTTTTTATGGCGATATACAGTGAAAAAAGTAGCTCAGATCAGAATATACCAAAAGCAGTCATCCTACCTAGTACTAGTAGAACAAAGAAGACTTGCTCCTTTTGCTATATAACAACTACCAAAACACCATAGATAATAACAAACCTCGCCCAATAACCAAAAAAAAAGAAAAAAAAGAAACATCATTAGATTTTTTTTAGATAATAAAATCACTAATTACTGCTTAAATAGAGCAAACCAACCAACCACCAATAGCCGCCTACTGTTGCTGTGGCTCACCACCTTCCCTAGACCGGCCGCCCATCCTCCCCCTACCTCTTCCACCTCCCCTGCCACCACCTCCTCTCATGAACCCACCTCCTGTATTTCAATTTAACATCAAAAATCAAAAGGATTAAACAAAAAAAGAGTAAATTACATTTTGGTCCCTGAATATAGCTGGTTTTTGTAACTTTGGTCCCAAAAAGTTCTCTTGCAAACATTGCCTTATCATTTGAGGTTCTTGTAACCTTTTTGGTCTTTGAGTAATAGTATAGCCGATTTTTGTTGAAAATAATCATTTTGTTTTAAATAGTGACAAAAACCTCAAATAAGAACATGAATTGCAAGAGAACTTTTTGGGACTAAAATTTCAAAAATCAGCTATACTCAGGGACCAAAAATGTAATTTACATAAAAAATAAAAAATCACTCACCACGGTAGCCTGCATTCCCACCACGGGCACCACCTCGACCACGGTTTACATAACCATTGTTATCTATGAAAAACACAATAATCAAAACTAAATTAAAATTCAATCCTATAAATAAAGTTTATGTAAAATCTAAATTACCTTGATAGTTGTTTCCATAGTCACCACCACCACTTTGATAGTTGTTTCCATAATCACCACCACTTTGATAGTTTCCATATCCCCTGCCGCCTCGATAGTTCCCATACCCCCTGCCACCACCACCACCACCCTGGTAGTTACCACCACCACCACCACCACCCTGGTAGTTACCATAACCACCACCACCACCACCACCACCCTGGTAGTTCCTATACCCATCCCCCCCTTGATACCCATACCCATACCCATACCCACCACCCCCTGTTCCACCCACGACCCCTCCCTCCTCTTCCCCCACCTTGACCACGACCCCCCCTGTTTCCATGGTAGTTTCCACCATATGGCTCTAAAAATAAAAAAAGAA